TTGGATCCTATGGTAAGAATATATTTACTTTTGTAAGACAACAGCAAACTCCCTTCAAAAGTGGCTGTACCATTTTGCATTCCTACCAGCAATGAATGAGAGTTCCTATTGCTCTTTGTCAGCATATGGTGGTGTCAGTGTTCTGGATTTTGGTCATTGTAATAGGTATATCTGGCACTTATTTGGTGTAACGAGTGGTATCTCACTGTTGTTTTAATTTACATAGGATTTGGAGTATCTTTTCATTTACTTATTTGTCATCTATAAATCTTTGGTGAGGTGTCTGTTAAGGTCTTTGGCTCAATTTTTTAAATCAAGTTGTTTTCTTACTGTTGAGTTTTAAGGATTCTTTGTATATTTTGGGTAATAGTCCTTTATTAGATATGGGTTTTTTTTGTAAATATTTTCTCCCAATATATGATTTCAATTTTCATTTTCTTTATAATTTTTTTTTTTTTTTTTTTGCGGTACGCGGGCCTCTCACTGTTGTGGCCTCTCCCGTTGCGAAGCACAGGCTCCGGACGCTCTGGCTCAGCGGCCATGGCTCATGGGCCCAGCCGCTCCGCGGCATGTGGGATCTTCCCGGACCAGGGCACGAACCCGTGTCCCCTGCATCGGCAGGCAGGCTCTCAACCACTGCGCCACCAGGGAAGCCCCAATTTTCATTTTCTTGATAGTGTGTTTCACAGAGCAGAAAAATTTAATTTTAATGAAGTCCAACACACCAGTTGTTTCTCTCATGGATCATACCTTTGGTGTTGTATCTAAAAGCTCATTGCCAAACCCAAGATTATCTAGATTTTTCTCCTATGTTATCTTCTAGGAGTTTTATAGTTTTGCATTTTACATTTAGATCTGTGACCCATTTTGAATTAATTTTTATGTAAGTTCTCTATCCAGATTCATTCATGTGAATACCTAATTGTTCTAGCACCATTTGTTAAAAAAAGACTATCTTTGCTCCATTGTATTACCTCTGCTCCTTTGTCAAAGATCAGCTAACTGCATTCATGTGGGTCTATTTCCGGGTTCTGTTCCATTGATCTATTTGTCTGTTGTTTCACTGATATCACCCTGTCTTGGTTACTGCAGGTTTCAAGTAAGTCTTGAAGTGCAGTACAGTGTCAGTCCTCCGACTTTGTTCTTCTTCTTCAATGTTGTATTGACTATTCTAGGTCTTTTGCCTCTCCATTCAAACTTTAGGGTCAGTTTGCTAATATCCACAAAATAACCTGGTGGGATTTCAATTGGAATTGCACTAAATCTATAGATCAAGTTGGGAAGAAAAGACATCTTGACAATATTGAGTCTTTTTATCCATGAACATGGGCTATCCTCATTTATTTAGTTCTTCTTTGCTGTTTTTCATCACAGTTTTGTAGTTTTCCTCATATATATTTGGTTAGATTTACACCTAACTATTTAATTTTGGGGGTGCTAATGCAAATGACAATGTGTAAATGACACTGTGTTTTCAATTTCAAATTCCACTCGTTTATTGCTGGTATATAGGAAAGCAATTGACTTTTGTATATTAACCTTGTATCCTACAACCTTGTTATAATCACTTCTTTGTTCCAGGGTTTTTAGTTTTTTATTCTTTTGGACTTTTTACATAGATAATCATGTTATCTGAAAACAAATTCTTCTTTCCCAACCTGCATACCTTTTACTTCCTTTTTTTGGGGGGCGGGTCAAACTGCATTAGCTAGTACTTCCAGTATGATCTTGAAAAGCAGTGGTGAGAGGGGACACCCTTGCCTTGTTCCTGATCTTAGTGGGAAAGCTTTCAGTTCTACAGCTGTAGATTTTTTATAGATATTCTTTACAAAACTGAGGAAGTTCCCCTTTGTTCCTAGTTTACTGAGAGATTTTTTTTATCATGAATGGGTGCTGTATTTTGTCAAATGCTTTTTCTGCATCTATGATATGATTCCCAAATGATTTTTAATGTAGATATTAATAATAAGGTTAGATCACACTTCTGGGTCTGGTGAGTAGCATATAAAGAAAGATATGTTATAAATGTGTTATGCATCTCTCTTTATCTAACCCACCATATAACTGCCAAACGACAATGGTTGAATATTTACTTAACCTGAGATAACAAAGTTAAAATGAGACAGAAAAGTAGAAACCTTTAAGGAGAAATATAAGAATTCTATCAGAAATACACTAAAAACTAAAGCAAACATTTAAAATTACTATTAAAAGCTTTTCAGATATTAATCACCACCAATATTCCTACCTTTTGGACAAGAAATGACCAAATGATACTAGAAATTTTTTCAAGAACTCATGGAGTGCTTCTAAAATCATATCCTCATAGTGTACCATAAAGAAAGTCTCAACAAATATTAAGAATCAATATCATATAGACATGATCTGTGGTCTCTATTTAACCAGATTAGAAATTAGTAATAAAAAGGAGTCTAAATACCCATGTATTGGGGAATTTGAAATTAGACTTCTAAAAAATTCATGGATCAAAAAAAAGATCATAATGAATGTTTCATTTTACATGTATAAATTTGGGCATTTGTAACCAATCCTCTCCCTCATTTGCTATAGATTAGCAAAAAACCTCTGCTACTTGGCAGAAGTAAAACCTTGAGTATTTGAAGAGAAACATATGCTGCATACGTTGCTCTCCAAAGCGAGATATGTGGCTTTAGACAGACTCACTCTGGCCTTTTCTTAAACCTATCCAAAAAATCTACACATTAACCTAAAATACAAGACTTCATCCTTCCTGCAAGCACAGCTTAGCTTTGGGTTAGCTAAAGTATGCTTAACTTCCCTCCCTGACTTCATGTTTAGTGCATAGGTGGTAAAATTGGTAATGAAGAATAGAAATAAATAGTCAACATTAGGTTATTATGCCTCAAACTGTAGTCTGAGTTTCCTGAGAAAATCTGCTTTTTAAAGTAGCTGAACATGTCTTTCTTCAAATATACCTCTAAGTCCTTAATATTTCAAACACTTCAATTAGTACAGTTTTTTTCACCAAACCAACATGACATCAGATGATATTTAATATCTTTAGAAAAATCCACTTAGCTATGAGTTACAAATGTTTTACTATAAATCCTAAGAAGCACATTCTGTAATAATCTGAAATTATGTCTTCTTTTTACTCTAAAGTGAGTTTACATAGCTCTGGTTGTTACACAGCTAAGAGTTATTTTTAAAATCCCTGCAGGTCTTACCTAGTACACATTCCTAAATAGAAATAAATAATGTTCTTGTCCCTCCAGAGTTTATAATTTATTAAATAATCCTAGACTGGGGTAAAACCCCTCTTCTTCAAAGTTGTAAATCTTTTGATAGTTAAATCAGTCCATGTAAGAGAACAAGCGAAATAGCAAGGTGACAGAAGAGGAAGTAAAACTGAAAAACAACAAACAATTAGACATGACTAATTGGCCACACTGCACCCCATTAATTTTACTTAATGTTCCTATAGTGTTAGAACAAATGACATTAAACAACCAAAAAGTAACACTGTTTCTTGTTCTAAAACTCTCAGGACCCACATACAATAACTAAGGTCTCATCATGTACACTGGTTTGTAGAATGTGGAAAAGATGTGATCATTCTTTCAGAGGTGTTTAAATATCAATAAGTCAATAAGGATTTATTGAAAACATACTGTGCAAAATAGTGTATTAGGCAATGGGGAAAATAAAGGAAAACATAAGACTCTTCTACCTTGAAGTGCTTACAATCTACTTGGGAAGATAAGATTTTCATGAAGAAAGACAGAGGGGGAGGGAGGGACTGAGAAGGAAGACAAGGAGACAGAGAAAGAGAGGCGTAATACAATGTATAAGATTTATGACAAGATATAATTCATTGCTAAATTTTGTAAGAAAGATTAAAAGTGATATGGAAATTCAGGAAAGATGAGAGTTTGTAAAGTTGAAAATATCTTCCCAATCTCTGGAAATTCTTGTACTTTTATGCCCCTGTGAGCAAGGTTATTAAATTCCATTTCATCAGATCTTCAAGTTAAATTTATATATTTAATTCCACCTCTAGTCACACAAGCACTCTTTCCTCTCCCTTCTTTGCCTACTCATCCTTGAGTACTCATTTCTTTTGGAAAGACTGTCTTTCCTTTCCCACCATCATGTATACTTTTTCTTTCTTCCTGGTCTCTCAGATGAACTTCAGCATATGGTATCAGCTACAGATGGATGCTTCAACAGCACCCTGTGCATTCTTTGTCCCAAAAAGGTAATCATAGTAAAACGTGATAAATGCCATGCATCTTTCCTACTAGACCATAAGTTCCAAGACTGCAGATAACACGTTTACCTTTGATTTTTATTCTTTTCCTAGCATCTATTACAGTTCCTGGCTTAATAAGTATCTTCTGAATAAATGAATGTGCAATAATATGTATCCTGTAAAGAGGATGTGGCATATATATACAATGGAATATTAGCCATAAAAAGGAATGAAACTGAGTTATTTGTAGTGAGGTGGATGGACCTAGAGACTGTCATACAGAGTGACGTAAGTCAGAAAGAGAAAAACAAATACCGTATGCTAACACATATATATGGAATCTAAAAAAAAATAAATGGTTCTGAAGAACCGAAGGGTGGGACAGGAATAAAGAGGCAGACATAGAGAATGGACTTGACATGGGGAGGGGAAAGGGTAAGCTGGGACGAAGTGAGAGAGTGGCATGGACTTATATATACTACCACATGTAAAATAGATAGCTAGTGGGAAGCAGCCGCATAGCACAGGGAGATCAGCTCGGTGCTTTGTGACCACCTAGAGGGGTGGGATAGGGAGGATGGGAGGGAGACACAAGAGGGAGGGGATATAGGGATATATGTATAGCTGATTCACTTTGTTATACAGCAGAAACTAACACAACATTGTAAAGCAATTAAACTCTAATAAAGATGTTAAAAAAAATGTTTCCTGGCCTTTAAAGTAAACAATATTCAGAAGAAAATAGCAGTATAGTCTTCTAACATACCATTTGAAGGGCTGAAAGTTCTTCTGTTAGTCGAGAAATCTGTACATTATATTGTTTTCTTGTGTTTGCAACCTGTAAATTAAGATATCTATGAATTATTTAGGTCTACAGTAAAAATAATTAACACCCAATAAAAACATTTAGAATAATAATTTTGATAAAATATAACTTTTAGGGCATAAAGGATAAGCACACGATGTATTAAAGAGTCAAGAATTTATCATAACAGTGGAAGTAAGTGAACAGGATGATGTCTCCTAAAGTGTTTGTCAAATTTTGGTCTTTATGATGGGTTCTCTTTCAATTAAAATTTACCATATTAGAAATGAAAACAGAAAATTTCAAAATATTTACTTATTAATCCCTTTATAAATAATAACTAAAGTCATTACAGGTTAACATAAAAAATACCCTTTTGTGAAAATATGTGTATTTCCCAAAAATTAAAAAAATTTTAGAAAAGTGTTATTAGTTTACATTTTTGCAAATTTCCTTAATGTCTATGGCTTAATAGAAGATAGCTAGACTCTCATATCTATTTCCATGTTCAAGCTGTTGTGTTGTTGCATACCATCAACTTCTGGAAGACAACCCTGCAAAGTCATGAGAGAATGACTGTGAAAAAAGCAAACTGTTTTACTATAATTATGAAAGTAGGTATGATTCTGCAGACCACCTGAACAATACTTTGAGATCTGCTACCACAGAGCAAGTCAGGAGAAAAACTGAAATATACACTAAAAATGTAATTAATAACTTTTAAGGCACTTTTGTTTTATAAACAGAAGAATATTTTTATAGTACACGTCATATTTCAGTGCCACATTACTTTATAAGAAAAACCCTTATTTTAATTAGCAGTTAAATATCTTCAGAAATAGCAGAATTTATGTGTACAGAGTAATTTCAAGAATTAGTCACATCTCCTCAGGGTGGCTCCTAAGACAATATTTTTTTCTAATATCTACTCATGTTTTTAATAAATTTATTTATTTATCTTTGGCTGTGTTGGGTCTTTGTTGCTGTGCGCGGGCTTTCTCTAGTTGTGGTGAGCGGGGGCTACTCTTCGTTGCAGTGTGCGGTCTTCTCATTGTGGTGGCTTCTCTTGTTGTGGAGCACAGGCTCTAGGCGTGTGGGCTTCAGTAGTTGTAGCTCGTGGGCTCTAGAGCTCAGGCTCAGTAGTTGTGGCACACGTACTTAGTTGCTCCGTGGCATGTGGGATCTTCCCAGACCAAGGTTCGAACCTGTGTCCCCAGCATTGGCAGGCAGATTCTTAACCACCGCCACTGGGGAAGTCCCTACTCATGTTTTTAAAAAGACCATGAAGAATATTGATCCTGATGATATATCATCAGTACACATTTATGACCCAAAGGTTTTTGGAAATTTTATAGCATCTTATAAAATGGATTATTTCTCAAACATGATGTAAACCTTGTGTAGAACATTTACAACACTGCTATATATTTTAGTTAATTAAACTAGAGTTATCTTTTGGAAGGCCTGTCTAGCATATTATATGTGGGTCCATTTCCGTTCCATTTTAGGTTATAATTTAATGTAGCTTTTCCTGTGAAAAATTATATTAAAAATCAACCCACCCTAGTTACAGGTCAGTGACAATCACAGTTAGCATTTATTGAGATTTAATGTGTTATGAACTGTCCAGAGTGCTTTATGTGTTATTATCTCATTAATTCTCACAACAACATGATGAAGCAGTTATTATCCCCATTACAGATAAGGAATATTCAAGCTGAAACTAAGTCATGAAGGTTCCTAGAATAAAATAATTTTGGTTCTTATAAGCCCAATCATGTCTGTCTGTCTCTCACATAGTTTTTTAAAAGTGTTCTTTTTAGTATCTAGAAATGATGCAGGTAACATGAGGGCTTATGATCATAATAGTATATATATTTTGAAATCACTTATGTTAATAATTTCATAGATAGTCTTTATGAATATGTAGGAAAGCATATTAATGTAAATATTACAGTAAAAATGAAAACAGGAATTTCTACTTTTGCTAATTCATCTATCTGACAAAATATCAAATTAAAAATTACAACCAAGGCTTTTTGAAGAAGTGGCTGGCTGATTCTAGGTCTGAGGCAAGGAAAGTACAAGATGAGAAATATCATTTATCCAGGAAAACTAGAGAGACAAATTGAGAATAAAAATGAAGACTGATGGCAATGAATCATGAAATAAAAAAATAAAAATGAATCCATCATAACAAACAAAGGGGGCAGGACTCTAGCCCTAACCAAAAAATAACAACTAATAAATGTATAGAAAGATTGACAGAATTAGAATTTCTAATTACCCAATATATTTATTTATTTTAGACAAGGATTATCAATGGATGACAAAACCACTGGATGAAAGATTTTGGTGGAAAAGGATAGCTGCATGGTCTTCAAGTATCTTCCCCAATTATTCATAAAGTATAAAATGGAAAGATCTGGTCTTAACACCTTAATCATGTGGTCAAGCTTAGCATCACCAATGTACAACTGACATTACAGCTTCCTGATGTGATGAAGTGGGATGTAGGTATACATATCACTCTGCCAGAAATGACCTGAATCTAATCAAAACGAAACAGTCACATGAATCCAAACGTGGAATATTTTGAAGGATTCTACAAAGGATTCTTTGTCATATACAAAGGAAGGCAGGGGACTGGGTTAAATTGAGGGAGACTACAGAGACGTGGTAGTCAAATACAATGATGCATAAACATGGATTGGATCCTGAATTTTAAAGACCAAACAGCTATAAACAATATTTTAGGGAAATTCGAGTGTGAATTGAAGTAATGTTGATTTTTTTTAAGACATGGTAATTGTGGTGTGGTTGTGTAGCAAAATGTCCTTTTTCTGGGGAAACAGATGACAAGATGAAGTGTCATGAGGCCTGCAGCCTATGTCTGAATGTTTGGCACAAGGGAAGAGTGTGTATGTAACATAAAGAGAGGTGGAATGGGTGTAGCAAGACACTAAGAGTTTTCTGGGTGAGAGGTAAATAAGTGTTCATTATACAGCTCTTTCCTTTCTATGGGTTTGAAAATTTCTAAAAATAAAAAAAATACAAAATTCACGAGAAACAATTTCTCATAGTGATTGAGAGTAGAGCTCATCGGCAACCCAGTTCTGCTACTTCCTAGAGGTGGAACCCTAAGCAAGTTAGTTAACTACTCTGTTTTTCAGTTTTTTCATCTTTAAAATGGGTTTTTGTGGTTTCTTCCTCCTAAACTCACTTTACACTTTTTAACTTTACCACACCACTTATGAATTAATTCATATCCATACCAGAGGAAAAGGCAAATAAATGTATGTCTTCCCTCTCTCTTTATATGAAAGCAAACTTATATTTCCAAGACAGTTTTAACTTTCATAAGGCTTGCAATTCAAACTAAGAAACAACTCATTGCTTTAACACAAAAAAATAAGATTTAGTCTTGATAATCGAATTGCAAACAACAACACAATTCACAAATCATATAGGTATCTGCATGATGCGATTGAAACAACGCTAGGCTCAGTATAGCAAGGAGAAGGTGTGAGTCTAAGTTCTGGCTTTAATTAGTGTACAATCTTGAGCTAGCCAATACCTCTCATGGGTTTCAGCTTCATTACAAATAAAATAAGAGGTTAAAGCAGATTTCTCTTGTACTCCAGTCCTAAGATACTGCAAGTAACAGTAGGTTTTCTTCTCTTGCTTCTTGTATGTTCTAAGTTTCTTTTTGACCCTTCTTCTTTACATCATACTTCAGGTGTGTTAATCTTCACTATATTCCTAGCCTAAATCTCTCTCCTTCCCACTTGCCCTACCCCCTACCTCTACCTCACCCTGGCACCAATGTTAGGGGCTACTATCATGAGAAGATTTTTATTTGAAATTTAGCACAATTGATACAATCAGCTGACAAATAATTACCTAGGTCCACAAGGCAAAAACTCAGGTGGTATCTACTCTTAAGCTGTGAAATTCTGTAAAATTTTGAATTTTAAATATAATTAAAACCCCCTTACTTCCTTCCTGGTTCTTATGGCAGCATCTTGCACAAGCCGAGAAACTGTTTCTTTCATTTTCTCTATATCTTCTTCTTTTTGCTTCTCCTCAAGCAGAGCCTTCAGAAAATAATAATTTGATGTTATTATAGGTCACATCGTTATTAATAGAGATTATGTAATAAATGGGTAAAAACCTATCCACTAATCACTTTCTTGAAAGCATACCTCTTATGCGAAACTTCTGAGACATCTCCACTTTGAGATGTTGCCTAAGTTATGAATGATATTTATTTTCCTTAACCTCCTCACTGACCTTGTCCTAACTAAAAATTTACTCTTTTCCTTTGATATTTGTTTCAGCCAGTACCATCACTCTTCTAATCTCTACGGCTGGGAATTTAGGATTATTTTTAAATTTTCTTTCTCCTTTATTCCCTATGTAAAATAAATAATCAAATCTAAATATTATATTCTTGGAAAAATCTCTTAGATTTCCCTTTCTTTCCATTATTTGGTTTTATTCAAATTATGTCCCTTGTCACCTCATACCTCCATCACTGTAGACACCACCTACTTCCTCTCCATGAAATTTCTAACCAACCAATCATTTTCACCTAAAAAACCAACCAATCATTTTCACCTAAAAAATACTCTTATAAGCCTAGTTCTGTTGTCAGTCACATCCCATTTCTTTGCTTCCCTGTGGAGCAAAACTCCTCTAAAGTCTGCACTTGCTCATTTCCAAACCTTTCTGTTATGTTCACTCTAATCAGGCTTTCACCGTCCATGATCTCTATACTGCTAACCCATGAGAGTCAATTTTGCATAATTATCTTATTGATCTGTCAAACAGCACTTGAGATAATGGATTACTTTCTTTTCTTCGTTTTACTTTCTATACTTGGCTTTTAGCACACCCTAGTATTGGTTTTCCTCTTAACTCACTGATTATTCCTTTTGAGTCTGCAATGCCGTTTCTTCCTCTTCTCCTGAACCTCTCTATTATTGAACTATCCAAGTCTTAGTCCTTGGTCCTTTTCTCTATCCACATCCACCCCTTGGTGGTCTAATCCAATCTCGCAGTTTTAAATACCATTTATATGCTGAAAAGTCCCAAGTTTACATGTCTAGTTCAAATATCTTCCTGAGCGTGGAACTCCTCCAATTTTAGGTTTGAATGAATCTTTTTTTCTTTTTTTTAATAAATATCATTATAGAGTAAGCAGCTCCGTGTTCTGATCCCACTATCTTGCAAAGATACCATACACATTCCTATCTCTGTTTTTGTTGTTTAATAAATTTCCTCCTACTTAAATAGGTAAGCTAGGGAGAAGTAATAGCTGTTTTGATATAACAATCTTGTCATGGAGAATGGGACAACAGGGAAAAGGGAAGTTTCATAAGAAACTATGGTAAGGTTGTGCTTCCTACCTGTTTGTATGATTGGTTAAGAGAACATCTTGGAACAAGCAACTGAAGGTGGGAACCCTCTGGCAATTAAGCAATAAGTCAAGAGGGAACTTAATACTGTAGCCATAAACAGGCAATTTACGGTTCAAGTCCAATTTGTGGACTTGAGACTTGGATGAGAAGACTTAAGGAACAGGAATAAGTATTATTACTACTACCTTCTCTGTCCATTGTGCTCCACACAAAATATTCATCTTTATGACCTGATGTTAAGAATGCTCATAGGCTTTGGAGGAGAGAGAGAAACAATTCTGCCCTGTTCTTAATTTCTCTACTTAACTTAGGAGTTTAGACGAATTCCCAAGCATATTATGTATTTTGTGCCTTTCATCCATTCTACAAGATCACAGAAGGGAATAGTATCTGAAAGGTATAAAAAGCACCTTAGCATTCCCCAGAGCTTAGATTTGGATAATTGTTTCTTTTTTATTTCTGAGTAGCTTCTTACCATGCAACTTATAGCTTGTTTTATTTTTAATAGTTCTCTTGGAAAACCATCTATCATGTAAAAAAGAAAACATAAATAAAACAAAGTATTTCCTTTGTAATCCCCATATGTCCCAGTGGAGTACAATGTATACACTATGAATTCAATAAATATTGATTAAATGAAATAATAATTTAATGATTGCTTCGTAAGGGAGCCAGCAACATTAAAAACATCACTAATCATTACAGAAATGCAAATCAAAACTACAATGAGGTGTCACCTCACACCGGTCAGAATGGCCATCATCAAAAAATCTACAACAATAAATGCTGGAGAGGGTGTGGAGAAAAGGGAACCCTCTTGCACTGCTGGTGGGAATGTGAATTGGTACAGCCACTATGGAAAACAGTATGGAGGTTCCTTAAAAAACTGCAAATAGAACTACCATACGACCCAGCAATCCCCCTACTGGGCATATACCCTGAGAAAACCATAATTCAAAAAGAGTCATGTACCAAAATGTTCATTGCAGCTCTATTTCCAATAGCCAGGAGATGGAAACAACCTAAGTGTCCATCATCGGATGAATGGATAAAGAAGATGTGGCACATATATACAATGGAATATTACTCAGCAATAAAAAGAAACGAAATTGAGCTATTTGTAATGAGGTGGATTGACCTAGAGTCTGTCATACAGAGTGACGTAAGTCAGAAAGAGAAAGACAAATACTGTATACTAACACATATATATGGAATTTAAAAAAAAAATGTCATGAAGAACCTAGGGGTAAGACAGGAATAAAGACAAAGACCTACTAGAGAATGGACTTGAGGATATGGGGAGGGGGAACGGTAAGCTGTGACAAAGTGAGAGAGTGGCATGGACAAATATACACTACCAAACACAAAACAGATAGCTAGTGGGAAGCAGCCGCACAGCACAGGGAGATCAGCTCGGTGCTTTGTGACCACCTAGAGGGGTGGGATAGGGAGGGTGGGAGACACAAGAGGGAAGAGATATGGGAACATATGTATATGTATAACTGATTCACTTTGTTATAAAGCAGAAACTAACACACCATTGTAAAGCAATCATACTCCAATAAAGATGTAAAAAAAACCCACAAAACTATTTTGTGACTTCTATAAACTAAATACCATTAAATGAAAGTGGTAAAAGATGTGATATGTGGTAGCATAGTAATCTCAATTATTAGAGGGTTAAAAAAAAAGGAGCAGTGACATGAAGGCTCCTGTTAATAAATCTTTATAGTTAATTTAATTCCTGTCAATTAAGCTTCTGCTCTATTAGAGTAATTGTGTAAGTAATGAAGGCGAAATAAAGATTAATAAGATTCATCTGATTCAAGTGACTAAAATATAGAGTATACATACTGCGGTAAGTACATTAACAGATTTTTTTTAAAAAAGTATAAGACTACAGGGGATGAAGATTAGTTACACAAGGATTGGCGACATAAAAAACATCTAATGGAAGTTTTAGGAGAGGGTTGACATTTTATCATATTTTATGATGTTAAGTCTTAACATCAAGAATGTATCAATAGTATGCCTATTAATGGTGAGCAATTTCATTTTTACGCATTAATTCTGTAGTTACTGAGTCCCTTACTATCAGGTCATATGGGGGAATGTTCAGTATTTCATTATTTTATTTACTATCTATTTATTATTATTTATAAACATGGTTACTAGTTTTCTTACCTGATTTTTTTGAAGGTTAGCTTCTTCTAGGAGTTGCATGCTATTTCTGGCTCTTACAATAGCTTCGTATTTCTCATTTTCTAATTCATAGCACTTTGCTTGTAAGTCTCTGGTCTGTTTTTCCAAATGTATTTTTTCTGCTCTTAATTGGGTAGCTTCTTGGATTGTCACACATAACCTAAAAATTAATAGTAATGTTGAGAAAGTTAAATATTTTCAAAAAGGAGGGAGATAGGAGATTTACAGAGTATCTATTACAGGACAGGCATTATTCCAGTTACTTTCACATGTATCTTCTCATTTGATTCACAGAAAAGTTCTGTAAAGTAGGTTTCATTATTTCCATTTAAAAGAATAACAAACAGAACCAGAGAGCTTAAACATTTAATTAAGGTCATATGAATAATGAGCAGTGGGACTTAGACTGAGCCTAGATATTATGACTCTGATTATGTTACATTTTCTACACTTTCCTACTTATGTTAACTCATACTGTCTTATACAGTTACATGACAGTGTTATAAAGCAAATCCTTAAAGAATAAGTTGTTCTTTCTATTTATATGGTCTTTTTGTCTTTTAGGTTTTTACTTGGCTCCCCTTTACTACTCTCTACCCAGGTAACCCTTGTTAACTTACTAATGTATATCTTTGAATATTTTTCTCCATGTTCACAAAATCATATGATTTTTATATACACACACATATACACATAAATATACATACACAGTATATACACATCAATCCACAGGTTTTTAAACACAATTTTTCATGTTATAAAAATTAAGATCATAGTATATACCCTTTTCTGCACTTGCTTTTTTTATTCAATAACACCTTGTAAAAATCCCTTCAAGCAATACATCCAGAAACTCTTTCCTTTCCTAATCTGACGGATGCAACTTCTCCTCACTGTTAATTTGTATTCACTGTTAATTTGTATCTCCCTAATTACTGGAGAGTTTAGGCATATTTTAAAAGTTTGCTAGCTATGTGAATTGTCTTTCAATTTCCTCCTCATATCCTTTGCCTACTTTTTCCTGATGGCTTATTAACTTTGCTTGTTCTTTTATAAGAACTTTTTGAATATTAAGATATTTAACCCTCAGTCTGTTCTGTACACTGCAAATATTTTTTCCCAAATCTACTTTTTTGTTGTGGCCTATTGACTCTATTTAGGAAATCTTTATTACACTAAAAATGCTCACTTGAATACAGCTAAATTTGACTATTTTTTTCAACATCTGGGATTTCAGTTTTTATAAAGATGATCTCGTTTATCCATAGATGGTTAATGTAAGCTCCTAGATTTCCTCAAAAAAATGTTATGACTTTAATATTTTTACCTGTAAATCTTCAATCAATCTGGAATTTACTTCTGAATGTGCTATAAGACAGGAGTCCAATTTAACTTTCTTCCAGATTGATAGCCAGTTGTATGAGTACCATTAGTAACTGATGAATTGAAATAACCCCTTATATCTAAAATGTGCAAATGTCATGATTTACTTACCAATTGTCACGATTCACTGATCTATTTGTTTAGTCTAGGCCCAAGTCATATTAACTTGATTATAGTGGCTTTATAATATGTTCTGATATGTTCTGGTAAGACAGTTCTTCCCTTGCATTACACATGTTTCTTTGTTTTTTTCCAGGCATTTCTTTTCTAAGTGGTGGCATGAGAAGCCATAATGAACGTAACTGTATTTTCATTGTCACCCTTGCATTTCCCAGCTTTTGCATCACACATTTAGCTCTCCTATTATTTGCCATATTTAGGTTTATTAATGTTGTACCTCTTTCAAAATGGTGATTTATTTTTTCATTACATAAGGTCCCTCTTTATTCTATTTACTGTTTTTCCCATTAAACCCTACCTTATGTAATATTAATATTGTCATTCCTGCTTTCCTTTTGTTTACAGTTGTTAATATTCTCCACTAACACCTTTATTTTAAATTGAAAACAAATCTTCATCTTTCCTTTCTTGATACCTTTGTTCTAGGTCATTTACTCTTCAAGGTATTTTCTAAAATAACACATTACTAGGCTTTAATCAAAATCTGCAGGTCTCTGCTTTCTAATGGAATACAGTCCTCTCATACTGTAATGATTTACGTCATGACATGCTCCACTCCATCTTACTTTGGTTAAAGCACTGTGGTAGAAGATGAAGCAATCTCTACCTCTCCCACAGAGGTACAGGACATCTGGCACTTTACTAGCACAGTTCACCCATTCACTTCACCATAGCCTCTTGGGGGCCAGGCAGAGGAGGTGGACTCATGAAGGGTTTATGCCATCTTCATCTCCCAAGAGTCCATGTGTCTCGACAGGGCAAGCTTTGTTTAGGACTCTGTGAATTCCAATCTTCAGTCAAGGCACTCTGACACTCACCTCCAGGCTTCACACCCACACATGTCAGAAAAAGCCTTGCAACTAAAGGATTTACATGTATTTAACAGTCCATCAGCCACAGCAACCATGTGGCTCTGAAAAGTCACACTGGTGTTAGGGGTGGAGTTATAGGAAAGTAGATTCAGATCATCGCTTCATAATTTAAAGGTTTCCATAATTTTATAACATAAAAGATGTACTACGCCTGTTATTATTCTCATAAAGCACTTCTATATCCTCTACAGCCAAATCTTATATGAATCCTTTCTTTCAACTTACTAAAATTGGGCCAAATTCCCGCTCTATAATAATAGTAACAACAATGATAATAGCAAACACCTGTAAGAACATTCTTTGTGCTAGGTACTTTACATATGTTAAAGAAAACATAATCTTCAACATCTTCAATGATGCTATGAAATAGGTTATAGCATTAGCCTATGAGGTAGGATATGAGATTATATCATATAAATTATGAAGTAGGTTAAATCATTATATTTATTTTATAGATAGAGAAATGGAAGAACAAAAAGGGTAAGCAATGTGCTCAAGGTTATTGATCTAGTTACTGGTGAAGCTGGAGTTTGAACTTAGTCAGTTTGGGTCCAGAGTCAGTGTTCTTAACAAATATGCTATACTGCCAAATAGAAACTTCCACCTAAGGACGTCCACTCTCGCCACTATTATTCAATGCAGTCTTGGAACTCCTAGCCACGGCAATCAGAGAAGGAAAAGAAATAAAAGGAATCCAAATTGGAAAAGAAGAATTAAAAATGTCACTGTTTGCAGATGACATGATACTATAGATAGAAAATCCTAAAGATGCCACCAGAAAACTACTAGAGCTAATAGATGAATTTGGTAAAGTTGCAGGATACAAAATTAATGCACAGAAAACTCTTGCATTCCTATACACTAATGAAGAAAAATCTGAAAGAGAAATTAAGGAAACACTCCCATTTACCATTGCAACAACAAAAAAATAAAATACCTAGGAATAAACCTATCTAAGGAGGTAAAGGACATGTACTCAGAAAACTATAGGATACTGATGAAAGAAAGCAAAGATGACACAAACAGATGGAGAGATATACCATGTTCTTAGATTGGAAGAATCAACAGTGTGAAAATGACTATACCACCCAAAGCAATCTACAGATTCAATGCAATCCCTATCAAATTACCAACAGCATTTTTCACCGAACTAGAACAAAAGATTTTACAATTTGTATGGAAACACAAAAGACCCCAAATAGCCAAAGCAATCTTGAGAAAGAAAAACGGAGCTGGAGGGATCAGGCTCCCTGACTTCAGGCTATACTGAAGCCAGAAGCTACACAAAGCTATACAAAGCCAAAGTAATCAAAACAGCATGGTACTGGCACAAAAACAGAAATATAGATCAATGGAACAGGATAGAAAGCCCAGAGATAAACCCACGCACCTATGGTCTCCTAATCTATGACAAAGGAGGCAAGAATATACAATGGAGAAAAGACAGTCTCTTCAATAAGTGGTGCTGGGAAACTGGACAGTTACATGTAAAAGAATAAAACTAGAACACTCCCTAACACCACACACAAAAATAAACTCAAAATGAAATAAAGACCTAAATGTAAGACCAGACACTATAAAACGCTCACAGGAAAACAGGGAAGAACATTCTTTGACATAAGTCACAGCAAGATCTTTTTTCACCTACCTCCTAGAGTAGAAAATAAAAACAAAAATAAACAAATGGGACCTAATGAAACTTAAAAGCTTTTGCACAGCAAAGAAAACCATAAACGAGATGAAAAGACAACCCTCAGAATGGGAGACAATATTTGCAAATGAAGCAGCTGACAAGGGATTAATCTCCAAAGCATACAAACAACTCATGCAGCTCAATATCAAAAAAACAAACAACCCAATCAAAAAACGGGCAGAAGACCTAAATAGACATTTCTCCAAAGAAGACGTACAGGTAGCCAAGAGGCACATGAAAAAACGCTCAACATCACTAATTATTAGAGAAATGCAGATCAAAACTACAATGAGGTATCACCTCACACCGGTCAGAATGGCCATCATCAAAAAATCTACATACAATACAGGCTGGAGAGGGAGTGGAGAAAAGGGAAGGAACCCTCTTGCACTGTTGGTGGGAATGTAAATTAATACAACCACTGTGGAAAACAGTATGGAGGTTCCTTAAAAAACCAAAACTAGAACTACCATATGGCCCAGCAATCCCACTACTGGGCATATACCCTGAGAAAACCATAATTCAAAAAGGCACATGCACCCGAATGTTCATTGCAACACTATTTACAAAAGCCAGGTCATGGAAACAACCTAAATGTTCATTGATAGATGAATGGATAAAGAAGATGTGGTACATATATATACAATGGAATATTACTCAGTCATAAAAAGGAACAAAACTGGGTCATTTGGAGAGATGTGGATGGACCTAGAGTCTGTCATACAGAGTGAATTAAGTCAGAAAGAGGAAACACAAATATCATATATTAACTCATACATGTGGAATCTAGAAAATGGTACAGATGAACCTATTTGCAGGGCAGGAATAGAGACACAGATGTAGAGAATGGACGTGTGGACATGGTGGGGGGAAGAGGGGGATGGATGAACTGGGAGATTGGGATTGACATATAAACACTACTATGTGTAAAACAGATAACTAGTGGGAACCTGCTGTATGGTGCAGGGAGCTCAGCTTAGTGCTCTGTGGTGACCTAGATGGGTGGGATTGGGGGTGGGGTGGGAGGGAGGTCCAAGAGAGGGAATATATGTATACATATAGCTGATTCATACAGGAGAAACTAAAACAACATTGTAAAGTGACTATACCCCAATGAGGAAAAAAAAAAAAAGAAACTTCCACCTAAATTACAATTCAGATCTATGTATCTATCTATAACTATATAGCAAGGCGCTGTCATTTCAAGTTAAGTTGGTGGTGAGAAAACATAACAAAACCCAGAGTACTGAAGGAAAATTTGCATATTGAACATTATCACCTGCCAGACTCTTTCTTCAGGTTTTGGAATACACTCAGGCTTGTGCACTTCCATTCCCAGCCCACGTCAAAAGACTGATGGATCCTACTCTGGAGAAATTGGCTCAAGAAACAGCACCCTCAGATTCTGATGTCTGGGGACCGCCCAAGGAAAAAGCCAGCTCACTGCCTAAACATAATATAGTAAGTTTGCCAGACTATAAGCCCACCTATGCATACCTACCTACCTGTCTACTTTTTGGTGTCTTACTTTTTAAAAAAATTGAGATATAATTGACATACAACATTACAGTCAACCCCCATATCTGTGGTTTCCACATTACAGGATTCAATCAACCAGAATGAAAATATTAAAAAAAAATTTCCGAAAAGTAAAACTTAAATTTGCTGTGCACCGGCAACTATTTACATAGCATTTATATTGTATTAGTAATCTAGACATGATTTAAAGTATACAGGAGGAGGGGCTTCCCTGGAGGCGCAGTGGTTGAGAGTCCGCCTGCCGATGTAGGGGACATGGGTTCGTGCCCTGGTCTGGGAAGATCCCACATGCCGCGGAGCAGCTGGGCCCATGAGCCATGGCCGCTGAGCCTGCGGGTCCGGAGTCTGTGCTCCCCAACGGGAGAGGCCACAACAGTGAGAAGCCCGCGTACCGCCAAAAAAAAAAAAGTATACAGGAGGATGTGCACACGTTATATACAAACACTGTATCATTTTATATAAGGGACTTGAACATCCACGGATTTTGGTATCCACAGGGGTCTTGGATCCAAAACCCAGTGGATACTGAGGGACAATTGTGTATTAGTTTCAGGTGTAAACATAATAATTCAGTATTTGCATATATTTTGAAATAATCACCACAATAAGTCAAGTTGATATCACCACATATATACAATTACAATTTTTTTTCTTGTGATGAGAACTTTTAAGATCTATTCTCTTAGCAACTTTCAAATATATAATACTGTATTATTAACTACTGTCACCATGCTGTATATTACATCCCCGTGATTCATTTCTTTTATAGCTGGAAGTATGCACCTTTTGACCACCTTCATCTATTTCACCCACCCCTCCCCACTCCCTGCCTCTGGCAACCATCAATCTGTTCTCTGTATCTGCGAATTTGATTTTTAAAAACATGGAATGTTTCATGGATTTGAGTGTGGGTCATGCTAATTTTCTTTGTATATTCCAGTTTTTAGTATATGTGCTGGTGAAGCAGGCACTGTGGTGTCTTATTTTTAAATATCAATGGGTAGAAAGGATCATCAAGCCTTTGGAAGGAAGACAGACAGGCACAAAGAAAAAAGGAATGTTAGAGAAATCAGAGACAATGCAGGTGGCAGAATAAAACCTTAAAAATATTTTAATATATTTTACTAAGAGATGATATAACATTTATACTAAGATACTATAGAAAAAGAAACATTCAGAGGATAAGAAATAGCTCTTTAAAAAATTTATGATAGCTAAAATAAAATATTCAACAAACGGTTAGTTAGAAGAAAATTTAAAGGAACCCCCAAGAAAGGAGAAAATAAATGAAGAAATGGAAAATGGGAGAGAAAAAACAGGAAAATTAGGGAATCAATCCATTAGATCCAATATCCAGCTAATATTATGTTAAAAGAAAAAATGAAAAAACAGAGAAAAAAAATTATTCCACAGAAAATCCCGAAAATATTGCCAGAAGTGAAGAACATGAATTTCTATATTGAAATGTCCCCAGTAAAATGAGTGAAGATGAATTCTTACTAAATGTGCACATCTGCAATTGTAGAATATTAACTGTGGAGGTCGTGGGTGGATGATCCCACAAGTCGCTGGGACGGGGTCCACGGGGGTGGGGTAACAGGTCAAACACACAAAGCAGGAATTTTGAATGACAAAGGAATTTTTTTTTCTGTAGCTGGAAGCTAGATAATATGAGGAAAATGTCAACGTTTTAAGGAAAAATGATTTAAAACCTAGGATTTCCAACCTAGGATTCATTACTCACCCAAACTATCACCTTTAAAGGTAGGATAAAGATATTTCTAAACAATGCCTTAAAAAAATGTACCTTCCATGTGTACTCAGGAAGCTGAGGGAGAATGGTATCCGTTAAAATGGGAGCGGGGAGGTGGAGACAACAAATCACAACAAGGAAAGAACAATGGTTCGAATTATTAGTCTTATTGGCATATTCTTACTTTGAAAGAAACACCAAATTAAAAAATATAAAGAGGTAGTTTAAAGCAATTCTATTCATTTCACTCTGACCTTATTCAACAGAGCATATACAAATCAGCAGTCTTCCCCAGAGAACTGGCGTTCCCTGGAGATAATTCCCAGTACCCGTGAATCATGTAAAAAGCAGGGAGGCAGAGGCCTTTTTTTGGAAGATGGGAGAAAATGATTTATGCTTCTTAGGTGTTTGTGGCATCTGAAAGGATCACAAATAATAATTTTATAAATAAATAATAAATATAATTTTAGTAACTCAAATAGTAAGTATTTACGGAGGCCAAAGTGTCTTTGAGTTTATGGAACAAAGATGACCATTAAAAACATAGCTTTTCCATAGCTGGTAGTTCCATTAAACAGGACATATTCACACTTAAAACACTGGCTGAACATTGCTTATAGACATATATCAACTACACTAATAGTTCTGCTTTCTCTTATATAAAAATACAAGAGTTTTTTTAACTTTAAAATATAACTTTTTAAAATCATAATAGAAACAACATTAATTTAATAGCTCCAAAAGACAGCCAATGTAAAAATTTTCTTCTCAAAGGCAGCTAGCTGAATACTGAACTTTAAAAAATATCCTTAGATTTTCTTACGTATGCAGTAATCTCTTTTTAGGAAGCTTTTAGTTAGGTTATATTATAACTTTATATTAAAAGCAGAAAAAAAACAACAAAAATCTCAGAGCCTTCAGTAGTAAAAAGACAACTTAAAGCATCTATGAACAACTTGATTCCTTATGAAATACTATCAGATTCAAAGGAACTGAAATTTACATATTCAGATTTCACTATTTCAAGTCTCTAGCATTTATTTTCGTAGCACATAATGCTACTAAAATAACAAATGAAAAAACTACAACCACAGACTTTTCTCTAAGGTTAACAAAAAAGTTCAAGAAAGCAGTCAAATAATCATTCAACTGTTGAAAAGTTTAGAAAAATGCAAAACAAAACCCAAAAAACCCTAGCACTTAAAAATTAGAACATCTTCCATCAGAATCTCAAGTTAGCAGTTAAAATCAATTAGTTCTGAACCCACTGTGAGCAAAGAAATTAGTTTTATTAGCATTTTGGAGAAAAGAAACAGAAGCTCAAAGACACTAATTTTTTTCTGAACAAACAGTATTAGCCATGGATCTGTGACTAGAACTGAGATCTCAATTTTTGATGTCCTCAGATCAGTAGACTATTTCTGAGTGTAACAGATTCCAATCATACAGAGTAGATTTTTCAGCTATAAACCATAATATGATTTTATGTGCTGTAGTCACTGCATCTTTAATAGATTACAAATGACAATTTTCAAGTTCCTTAAGGGAATATCCAACAAGGGCTAGAAAACAACAACAAAAAATTCTAGAATGAACATCTGCATTAAGACAGCAATTAAAGACAAAGTTACAGAATATACTTAACAAGTAGCTCAGACCTTCAAAGGTAACTGAAAATTTTTGTTCCATAAGACTCCAGGAAAAACATCTATAACGATTTCTCAAGTATTTCTCAGTAAGAAATGATTTTTCTATATAATTTTTACCCAACTTCGCTATTTTTTTTTCTGCTTTAAGATGAAAAGAACATTTCTGACTTTGGGATTAACTAAACTTGACTATTACTGTTTTTGAGAAAAGGCAAAGACAAAAATGATCTTTCAGTATATGTTCAAAACACATGTTCAATCTTTTGAATATGATTTTTTTAATAATGTCCAGCAAACCAGATTTTAAACCTATGATTATAGTTTGTTTAGCATTTATAAAATATATATTCTAGACGATATCATAAATCATAAACAAACTCTAATGTGGAATAACTTTTGAAGCTTATAGACAAAGCTAGATGTATTCAGCAGTTTACCTTGTTTCTGATTGTTTTATACTAGATTGTAATTGCTGTAAGCGCCTATCTGATGCTTCCTCTCTTCCTTGGGCAGACACCATATACTCCTCCTAGAAAATAAAGAAACTGGATGTTTACTTTTAGTTTGTAAAAATTCAATACATCATTAAACAGCATAAAGAAAACAGCTCACTCTGTAAAGTTATTATATTGCTAGAATTTCTTATTTAAGTTTAAAGCAATATCACTTTGGAAACAAACCATGCATATTAAAAAAGGGGGAGGAGAACCTCACTATCAATTCTGTATTAGTAAAACAATAATCAAAACAGCCACTGCATATGGATTTCTATCAATATTCCAACTATTTCTATAGCACAAGTCTAAAAAAATGCAGGGATTTGTTGCAGATAATCTGCCCTCAGAATATGTTCTCTTAGCTAGGTTATGCTGCATTCCGTTATACTCATAGGATATTTCTACTTTAAATAGTGACGCTTTAAAATAAATTAATAGGTTTTATTTGTATCATCTCAAAAAAACCTTGCTACAGTGGATTTATTACCATGAAACATCCTAGGTTTTAGTGCCTTTGTTGTCATATAGTATATGTGCATACTTTATAAATCCAGTCAAGTCTTTTAAGGTATTGACAAGAGAAAAGAAAACATAAATTATGTACATGTATTATTTCATATTTACAACTCCTGTTGCTCTTAATTTCTTCCTATATCTGAGTTGTCACCTGGTGTCATTTCCTTTCAGTCTAAAGAATTTCCTTCAACAGTTTTTGAAGGACAGCTCTACTAAGCGACAAAATTTCCCAGTTTTTCTTTACCTGAAAATGCCTTTATTTTGCCCTCATTTTTGAAGTACAGTTCCACTGGACATACAATTATTTATTTATTTATCTATCTATCTATCTATCTTTGGCTGCGTTGGATCTTCGTTGCTGCACGCAGGCTTTCTCCAGTTGCAGTGAGCAGGGGCTACTCTTTGTTGCAGTGCATGGGCTTCTCATTGTGGTGGCTTCTCTTGTTGTGGAGCACAGGCTCTAGGCACGTGGGCTTCAGCAGTTGCAGAGCATGGGCTCAGTGGTTGTGGCTCTCAGGCCCTGGAGCATGCAGGCTTCAGCAGTGGTGGCGTGTGGGCTCAGTAGTTGTGGCGCACGGGCTCCAGGGTGTGGGCTCAGTAGTTGTGGCTCGGGCTCTAGAGCACAGGCTCAGTAGTTGTGGCACACGGGCTGAGTTGCTCTGCAGCATGTGGGATCTTCCTGGACCAAAGACTGAACCTGTGTCCCCTCCACTGGCAGGCGGGTTCTTGACCACTGTGCCACCAGGGAAGTTCCTGGACACAGAATTCTTAATGAGCATTTTTTTCCGTCAGCACTTCAAATATATTGCTTCAGTGTTTTCTGCTTCCACAATTTTTTGATGAGAGGTCAGCCTTTATTCTTATCTCTGTTCCCTGTTCATATCATTTTTCTGTTGGTGCTTTCAAGTTTTCTCTTTATAATTGGCTGTCAGTGTTGTCATGATGTGTTTAAAGTGATTTTCTTTGTGTTTATTGTACTAAGGGTTCACTGAGTTTCTTGGATTTGCTAATGTTTTCCACCAAATTTTGGAAGTTTTCAGTCATTATTTCTTTAAACATCTTTTCTGCCCCCTACTTCTGCAATTCCAATTACACTTCGATTGGCTTGCTTCATATTGTTCCACAGATTTCTGAGGTCCTGTTCATTTTTCTTTCATCTTTTAAACTCTATTCTTTGAACAGGAAAATTTCTATTGATCTGTTTTAAAGTTCATTGATTATTTCTTCTGCTCATTCCAATTAATTTTTGAGCCCATCTAATGAAATTTTTATTTGGGTTGCTGTACTTTTAAACTCTAGAATTTCTATTTTTAAAATTATTTTCTAGCTCTCAAACATTCTCTATCCATTCCTTCACTAAAATCTTATTTTACTCTAATTTAAAAATAGATTTTCTTTAATTCCGTGAACATGTTTATAATAGCTTATTTGAAGCCTTTCTTTGCCCGCTAAATCCAACAGCTAAATCCAAACTCAATGAAAATGAGTTTCTATCAACTTCTTCTTCCTCCCCCTCCCCCACCAATCATACTTTAGTGTCTAGTAAGTTTTGATTGAAAACTGGAAATAAAGATAACGAATCACAGTTTCTCTGGATTCTGTTTTGTTTTTTCGAAGATTATTAGCTTTTTTTGTTCAGTTAGTCAATTATCTTACCTAGACTCAAACTCTGAAGTGTGTCCCCTACAGTGTACAGCAGCTGGCATCTGTGATGAGTTCCTATTTCTTTCCACTGTTGCTCTTCTAACTAGGCTCCCAGGGAACTCACTGTGCCTGCATAATTTGAGGATCCGTCAAGATTTGGGCAGAGGTAGGGCTCATCCTCTTTGTGGCTTTGTTCTCTTACAGATTCCCCTGTGATTTCCAGCTTTAATAATTAGATCCATCTAAATCTAAAGCCTGACCTTTCCTTGACACCCTCTTGAAACTTCCCCATTACATGTGAAAAGAACCAGTCTTTTATGCCAATAACACAAAATGTAGTATTAAACAAAACGTAGTATTAAATACTCCTTTTCCATCTACATATAACCAACTAACTAAAACTTGATCTTACATTAACATGCATTTCAGTAATGACGTGTTTAGGGATGATTATGATATTGTGATGTTTATTGACTTAGGGTACAGTGAATAGAAATAAAGTTATTTCCAATGTTACAATTTAGCTTCCTAATTTCATATTTCATATTTTGAGGACAATAAAATGATTAATTAATTTTCCAGCAATCCTCTTTAACACCTAATCCAAAACAGATCAACAATAAAATACATAGAAAACAAAGCTACAGACATCTGCATCCAGTTGTCTTAGAAAAAGGAAGATACCTTCTTTTGCATCTGTCCTTGAAGATCTTCCGTCACTTTAGTTAACTCTTCCACTTTTGCTGCTGCAACTCTCAGATCTAACTTGGCTTGCCTAAAGTGCAAAGTAAATCAACAAACACTGTTTTCATAGACCATACAAATTTTTTAAATTAGAAATCTAAATTTAGCAAAATCAGTACCAGCCACGATACACCTAAAAATGAATGTAAGGGATAAATACTGAAAGATCCCTTTATGTCAAAGAGTGTGAAGAAGAAAAAATATAGCTGCAGGGATGAGTACAAAGTGGGAATCATTAATACTTTATTTGGATAAATTATGCTTTATACTCAAATAATTCAATAGATTTCATGAAGAACTTTATCATCTTGATAAATTACCTAACAAGAATGTCAGTGCATTAAGTAGAATATAGTTATGTCTAAAATTTCCTGAACAGAGTTAGTGAAATATCGCTGATTGGCCTTTCTATGAAAATGAACCTAAGTTTCAACACCTTGATCATTCCTTAAACACCAGAAGTATGTATTATATAATCACTTAACATAATGAACTGAAACATTTGTCACAAGATGGTCTAATATTTACTTTCTTCTGAGACTGAAGCTGCAAAGGACAAAAAGGACAAGTTTTTGAATGTTCTAATACTATCAAATAAGTTTCAATATCTTCTTGACTCCCCATAGAAAACGATTTTAGAATAAAAAAATAAGACTTTCTGAAACAGAAAAAAAGAGTTTTAATATTATACCAATTAAATACTACGTGTAAATACAGAACATGTGGATTACGGGAAAAAAAACATACAGTTTTAGGAAGGAAGGTACTCTAGTGTAGGAACTGCCCATACTTGTTTCCTAATTATATTTTATGTATGTATTATAAATATAAATCATATTAGTGCTGTTGAACCTAAAGAAATTATTTGATGCAAAACTCACAGCAAATGTTACTTCACTACTTTTGACTCTAACAATATTTATAATTCCATAATTGGTTAGCATAAAAACAACAGGAAATAAAAATCTAATAGCTAAAATGTATCAGGTAGTTATTAGGTTCCAGGAACTGTCCTAAACGCTTTGTAGACATCGTTTCACTTAACACAATACCTGTAAATAAGTACTATTATTATATCAAACTGAAGTCAAGAGAGTGAGGGTGACAGGTTTGCCAACTTGCCCAAGGATTCACAAACAAGAATGAAATTGATATTTAAACCAAATCCTCTATGATATACTGTCTACCAGAAAAAGTGATACCAATAATATTTCATAAGATTAAGCACTTAAGAATATGCTTTGCTTTAAATGAATCCAATTTATAAAAATCTGAGTTCATTAGACATTAATTTTTTCTACTTGCAAAATGATTCACCAAATGACAAAACAAAAACAAAAACAACTCCAAAACCACCTTACACGAATGCATGTAAAATCTAAGCTTAGAGACAATTTCAGGAGTGCATCTACTACATGAATCAATCAACAAATCTACCAGTTATAAAATTCCATATATTCTAAAAAGAAAAACTTAAGGAGTAAGATTTTATATAGTAATGACAAAACTGAGCAACTTCTGAATAAGCATAGCACCCACTCTGACTTGGCTTTCTTGCCTTGAGAAAGAGGATAATAATGCTTATTCTACTTATGTCATGGGGTTGCTGAAAACCTCAAAATAGATAATGTACATTAAAGTGCACTGTTAAGTGTAAACAAATGTAAGATCAGAGCATGATTAAAGAAAAAAATTGTTAGAGCCACAGTGGGAATGAGGTGCAATATGGGAGAATCCTAGGGTCAGGAACCCAGTTCTGTCACTAACCAGTGATATAGCTTAATGCAATTCACTTGACCACAAGACTGTCTCAGTGGTCTCATCTCAAACAACAGGGAAGTGGAGAAGATAATCTGCCCAAACAAAAACTCTATAGTAGATGGTTTTCTGATTTCTATCTAATCTGCCTAACGATTCTACTTCTAAATTGTCCCTCAGTTGTGTAATCCATTTCCACTTCCATGGCCCAACCACTGGCCTCATCATTATTTCCCAGGATTATTCCAATAGATTCCAAACTGATCTCTTTACTGCTGGTATCCTCTTTAATTCATCCTCTATAATGCATCCTACCTGGAAAAAAAAAAAAAGTTATCTGATGATAAAAAAATTCTTTTTTTAAAAACAATTTATTTTTTGGCTGCAATGGGACTTCGCTGCTACATGTGAGCTTTCTCTAGTTGCGGTGAATGGAGGCTACTCTTCGTTGCAGTGCGCGGGCTTCTCATTGCGGTGGCTTCTCTTGTTGCGGAGCATGGACTCTAGGCGCGCGGGCTCCGTAGTTGTGGCTCACGGGCTCTAGAGTGCAGGCTGAGCAGCTGTAGCTCATGGGCTTAGTTGCTCCACAGCATGTGGGATCTTCTTGGACAAGGGCTCAAACCTGTGTCCCCTGCATTGGAAGGTGGATTCTTAACCACTGTGCCACCAGGGAAGCCCACTGGTGATAAAAATCCTTATTTATTAATGATTTCTGGATTCCCCACTTCTTTGGGAATATAATCAACACTCCTCAGTGTGGCATATAGTTAGTCATCATCTGGCTTCGAAGAGTCTCATCTCTTGCTAATTCCCCTCATGTAATTTATATTCCTGGTATAACAGACGACTAACTCCCTGTTTCTGAAACACAGCCTTGCCTATTTTTTTCACATGTTTGACTTGACTAGCCTCCTTCTGCTTTTTCTGATAAATTCCTCAACAATCTTAAAGACTAACCTCAAAAATCTCATTTGAAGTCTTCTCTAACTTCTCTTAGGCAAAAGACCTTATAATACCAGCCCCCATGATTCATAATACTTTATACATTTTTAACAGATACTCATCTCATGGAACTGTGAGTTTATGAAAAATAATATGGAATGTAAGATCATTAAAGGCAAGGATCACATTTTATTAAATTTTAAATCCTCAGGGATAGCGCAGTACCTGGCATATAGTAGACAAGTAAATACATCATAAGTGAATGAAAGAAAGCACAAGAGGAAAAGAGAGAGACAGAAAGTCATGGGTATAACTATGTCTTCATACTTTGCTTAGATCTTACATATCCAATTTTCTATTCATGTGCGGAAATCCTAAAATAATAATTTTGTGAACAATTCTTCAAAATATATCTTGTTTGAAACAGAATCTTTCATTTGAAACAGAATCTCTCTCCTACATAAGAAATAAGAAATTCAGGCACTGGTCTTAACACTTGTTTTTTATAAGTTATTAAAAAGAAGAATATTCTGAAAGCACTTAAGTTATTATATTACATTCCCTAAAACACACAAAGAACTATGTTTTGGGGGAAAATAAGCAGTAGTTTTATATATACTTATTTATTCCTACATTGTTCCACAAGATAGAAAAGAAATAAATAGTTCCTTATATCTACTTCTAGCATGAAATACTGAAACATATTCTAGAATAAAAGCTGTATCCTCCTACACCTGGCTCTACCACCACAGAAGGCCATGTGAACTGAGCCAATCACTTAACTTCTCTAAGGCTCAGAATTGCAGCCATAAACTGGAGATAAAAACAATTTTCCTGTACAGCTCACAGAATTATCATAAAGTTCAAATAAGCTAATGCATATTACATTACTTTATAAACTTTATCATAGTTTTCACAAATGTAAGCTATCATCATAATCTTGCTTCTTTTTAGATTTTGAGTTGTCAGGAATGGTGTGGTATTGCATAAATTTACAGCTGGATTGAGAAAGCTTGGGGGATGCCTGAATATCTGGCCTTGACTCTGGGCCAAAAAATGAAAAGTGAGATTTATGGTGTGCTGCTTAGAGTCTGAATCTTCTCTGGTAATGCTCACACAGGATCTGCTTACTAATGGCTTTCACCTGGTATAACTGGTTAGAAAGCCAGGCTGGACTATGTGAACAGAGGGGCAAAAAACTTTCTCTAAGCTTTCCTGAAGCCAAGATTCATTGTACACATCTTGGTGATTCAACCAGGAGACAAAGAATGTCTTTGTATGCAGAAAGACCATAGAGTACTTGTGTCTGGATGTCCTCCTATGCTTCCCTATGCTCTTTTTCTTACTGCACAACATACTTTGCCTGTAAATAGAAGCCTTATGGGAGTATGCTCTGTGAAGTCTTGTGAGTCATTTCAAATATTCAAACTTGTAAAATTTTTAAAGTTGTCAACAAAAATAATTCTAATTTTATTTTATGAAGGAACTTTAATAACTATATATTTATACTATCTTACGTGGAAATGTTTTAGACATATGTGTGCTTATGTACATAATACTGTTATAAAGGTCAAAACCTGTTTTCATTAAAAAAATTTGATAGATAGCCTCATATACCAGAGGGCAGACAGCAGAAGCAAGAAGAACTACAATTCTGCAGCCTGTGGAAGGAAAACCACATTCACCAAAAGACAGACAAAATGAAAAGGCAGAGGACTATGTACCAGATGAAGGAATAAGATTAAACCCCAGAAAAACAACTAAATGAAGTGGAGATAGGCAACCTTCCAGCAAAAGAATTCAGAATAATGATAGTGAAGATGATCCAGGACCTTGGAAAAAGAATGGAGGCAAAGATCGAGAAGATGCAAGAAATGTTTAACAAAGACCTAGAAGAATTAAAGAACAAGCACTTAAAAGAACTAAAAGACAAACAAACAGAGATGAACAATACAATAACTGAAATGAAATCTATACTAGGAGGAATCAATAGCAGAATAACTGAGGCAGAAGAATGGATAAGTGACCTAGAAGACAGATTGGTGGAATTCACTACCACGGAACAGAATAAAGAAAAAAGAATGAAAAGAAATGAAGACAGCCTAAGAGACCTCTGGGACAACATTAAATGCAACAACATTCGCATTACAGGGGTCCCAGAAGGAGAAGAGAGAGAGAAAGGACCTGAGAAAATATTTGAACAGATTATAGTTGAAAACTTCCCTAACATGGGAAAGGAAACAGTCACCCAAGCCCAGGAAGCACAGAGAATCCCAGGCAATATAAACCCAAACAGAAACACGCTGAGACACATAGTAATCAAACTGACAA